ACTCAGGAGACCTGGAGGTTGAGACCGGTGTCCCTTCATTACAAATAGATAAGACAGAAGCTGTCCTTTTCAAACTATGCACATGTTAGAAAAAAATAGAATAACTATTCAGAATATGATTTTTTGAGACTTTATTAATTATATTGCTTGATCCAAGTTTAAGGACATTTTCAATCAATACATGTTTTACCATTTATAACTTTAAACGAAAGTCTCATCCCTTTACTAATAATGACATAACTGTATCTCTTTAAATGCAGAAAAATTATAAGTCTCAACATATCAATATAGATCTACTACTGTCTAAGATATACATGTATGCACATAACATTAATAATTCCCAGTTTATATTAAATAAATATGAAATCCTAACATTAACATTAACATGCTTTTGATGACCTTACAACTGGTGAATTATATACAACAAAAATAGTATTATAAGTAATACCTAAGATAGACAGAAAAGAACAAATAATTTAGTAAACATGAGTTACTTCCCCTTACAATAAAGAAAACCTGAAACCCCAAAGAACACCCTAAACAGCAAAATTATGAAATGCTGCAGGTTCAGTTTTATCAAAACCATGCAAATTAATGGTAAAGTATTCATAAAAAAATAGATGGCCATGTGTCAGCAGTAATTGCAGAAAATCGGATAGCTTTCAACATCCGGATACTGGTACACTTTGTAAAAACAACCATTCTGCGCAACAGATAAATGTAATAAGGATAAAATCAATAGGATAATCGTTTACAAACAGTTCCATTACCTATCCTTATACTCAATTGCAGGTGAACTTTCTTCTTGTAGGAAAATTTTGAAAATGTATAAATGAATGAATGAACTGATACGGCCTCAATCTAGACCACAACGATATTCGAAATCCGGGTTTTAGTATTGTCATTAAAACTAAGGGACAAGCTGTTAAACTTAACCTGCAATTTCGTTAAAATAATATCACAATGCACATGCTTTTTACATAAAGTTATTAAATACAAATATAACAACACATTTGTTTACTTGATTTTTACGAATCAAAATAAAACTAATTAACACAACATGAAATTAACTGCTAATAATAACAGCTCCTTCCATAGGCAAAAATAAAAAGCGTTCCATAATAGACGACGCCGCTCACCGGCGTCGCCAATAAAATCACATTGAAATATAATAGTAACAGCAATTATATAAAAATAATCGAAATTTAGTTTATTATAGATTTGTCAGAATACAGTTAATTGATGTTGGGTACTGAATAGTTGGCTTAATTTGTGACTTTGAAAATCGGGATTTCGTTGGATAATTAATAAAATCTGTTATTTTTAGACTTATTGTATTGTAAACTGTTACTGGATCGGGTGGGGTTGCGTTCATTGAACGCCGCCTTTCCTTGATGATCTTGTTTATTACGTTTTATATCAAACAATGGTATTTGTGTTAATCTATATTTCCTGAAAATAGTATTCAATCTCTTTCGGTAGTTTTAAAGTTATTGCGAAAATGTTACTGGTAGCGTTAGAAAAGTTGTAAAGTGTATATGAAAGCGAAACCTTCGTGAAATAAAATTTACAGTTTATTTAGACTAAATAAATTCAAGCACAGGGAATACTAATTGATGAACACATTTACAATTTTGTAGTTCGGATCTATTATACATATTTGTACGATATAATTATTTTGATAGCTTTTGCAGCTTTTTGTGTCCCCACTATAGCAGGGCTATAAAACAAACGCCGCCATCTTGGAACGAAGAAGGTAAAATAAATATTTTTGTTAATTACTCTTTTAATTGGAAATGACTGAAAACAAGATATATGTATTAACACTATTTTCCTAGCTAAATATTCTAAATATTCAAATCAACAGAACATTGCTATAAACAGTGAATGATTTGATTTTAAGCGCGGGTGATTAGTCGGTAATTGGCAAAATTATCCATGTTGAAAAGACTGCAAAAAATACAACTGCGTCGTATCATATTTCATTTTCAACTGCGTCGTATCATTTCGTACAAGTCATTATTTTCTTGGAAAATAAACATTTCTTTTTAATGAAATTTTAGTATATGATGCAAAACTATATTTGGAAGTTTATGAAAAACTCTAAAACGAGTATATAATTGATTTGAAAGAAGAAAAAAACGATGGAAAATCCCATATGAACTGCGCCCTATCCACGAAACTTCTGGCCCGCTTCGAGTTGCAAGTTATTATAACTGTTTTACCATGATTATTTCCCTTTACATTTTTTTGCAATTTTCAACTTGTGTCGCACGTAGCTCAAAAAATGTTTGACCTAGAGTCATGAAATTGTACAGGAATGTTGCTCAGCGTGTGAAGTTGTGCACCTAGGGTTTTGCTTGTGGATTTGTTCTGATTTGTTAGTTATTGCCCTTGACTTCGTAAAAAATTGCAATTTTCAAATTGTCCTACATAGTTCAAAAAGTATTTGACCTAGAGCCATGGCACTTTGCAGGAATATTGCCCAGCATGTGAAGTGGATTTATCCGGTATTTCTAGAGTTGTTGCCCTTGAATAAGTAAAAATTTGCAATTTTCAACTTTCGTGTGTAGGTCAAAAAGTATTTGACCTAAAGTCATGAAACGTTTAAGAAATGTATGTTGACATGTGAAGTCTACACCTGGGGATTTGATTATGAATTTATTGAGTATTTGAAGAGTAATGCCCTTGACTTAGTATAAACCGTTCCATTATGTTGTGTTATGTGTTCCTTGAGTGATTGAGTTAGAATCAACCAACTTAACAGGAATAATGATCAACATCACTGTGAAGCTGTGCACCTGGGGTTTTTCATGTGGATTTTTTTCAGTTTTGCTAGAGTTATTGCCGTTGACTTAGTATAAATTTGCAGTTTTCAACTTGTGTGTGCATAGCTCAAAAAGTATTTCACATTTAGGCCTGAAAGTATGTTGGTCAGCATGTGTACGTATGCACCTTGTGGTTTGGTTGTGGCTTTACTCAGTGTTTGTAAAGAGTGTAGAGGCACCCGTGTCTTAAGTTTCTTGTTTTTTCCCCCTCTTTTTAAGCTAACCTGAGCAAACATTACTCAAGGTGAGCTTTTCTTATCACAATTTGTCCGTCGTCCATCGTGAAGTAGACCTACCAAGATTGTTCAAACCTAAAACTTAAAAAAAATCATTTTTTCTGAATTGACAAACAATCTTGGTAGAGATCCATTACACAAGGTTATCACCGGGCCATAATTTTAACAATCTTAGTAGAGATCCGCTGTACAATGTTTCGTGCCAAATATCTAACATCTAGCCTTTGTCAATTCAGAGAAGATGTTTTTTTTAAGTTTTTACTATATACATTTAAGGAAAATCAATAACACTCTGAGGCGAAGTCAGTTTGACCCCATGGCTATATTTTTAACATTTTTCGTAGAGTTTTGTTTTATGATGCTAAACACAAAATATATAAGCTTTAGGCCCTGCAGTTTTTGAGAAGAAGATATTTATTGTATATTTTACTAAATGTAATAAAAATTTATGTTCCACAGGCTATTTTTTAACAATCTTGGTAAAAATTCCGCTGTACAATAGTTGGTGCCATATATCTATCCTCTAGCCTTTTTAATTCAGAGAAAATGATTTTTTTAAGTTTTTACTATATACATTAGAGGAAAATCAATAACCCTTTGAGGCGAGGCCAGTTTTGACCCCAGGGCTACATATTTAACAAATTTCGTAGAGTTTCGTTGTATGATGCTAAACAGAAAATATCAAAGCTCTATGCCTTGCATTTTTATAGAAGAAGATATTTATTTCATATTTTACTAAATGTACATAATAAAAATCTATGTTCCACGGGGCGAGGTCAATTTGTGACCCCAGGGCTATATTTTGAACAATCTTGGTACAGATCCGCTGTACAATGTTTCGTGCCAAATATCTAGCCTCTAGCCTTTGTCAAAACAGAGATGATGATTTTTTTACTATATACATTAGAGGAAAATCAATGATCCCCAGGAGAGAGGCCAATTTTTATCGCATGGATATAGTTTTAACAATTTGTGTAGAGTTGTATAAGATGATGCTACACACAAAATATCTAAGCCTTGGGCCGTGCACTTACAGAGAAAAAAAATAATTGATTATTTTATTTGTTAATTCGTCAAGAAAATTTAATAAACTATGAAAAACTGAATTAAGGTATAAAAATGTAACATTGCTGGTCACCCTCCCATAAATGTGTTGTTTTTTAAAAAATAGTTTTATTTATTTTCCCTACAGGTTGCAATAAGACTATATCAAAAGTTAAAGCAGGAACTAAAACTTCAGTGAAAGTAAAAAAAGTACCAAAATAGAACACAAAGGTCACTAAAGGATCAATAAGAAAGCTACATCAATAGAAGATAAGCCTCAGTAAAAAACTAAAATGGCATGTAATGGACAGCTTAATCTGAACGACGGTCTATGGAAAGAGAAGCTGGCATCACAGTTTAACCAGACATATTTTATAACTTTACAAGAAAAATTACAGAAAGAGTATAGCCTAGGCAAAGTATATCCACCCCAAACACTTATATACAATGCTCTTAATCTCACACCTTTGGAAACGGTAATACTATTATTTTAAATCTTGTTTACCCCCACCTTCAATCCAGCATATATTGGTAGATGTTGTGCTAATCTTAACATCTTCACAATGACATTATTAATTTCAGTAAACGTCACTTATAGTGCATACTGTTGTTATAAAAAAGGAACAATTAGTTTTGCCTTCTTCATTTAATATAGAATTAAGTAACGCTAAAGTGAACACTGTCATAAAGAATTATTGCTTATAACAACTCACATTTTAGTAAGAATTGATGGAAATTAACTAAAATAACATGTTTACTACAAACTCCAAAAGGACAACATAAATCCTTCATCTCCAACAAGGCTGATAAAATAATATTCAGGAAAATGATTTTTATTTTGAGGCAAGCTGCTCTATGGTTTGAACCTAAGAATATGAATATAATTTGATGATTATATGAACTTTATGTATAATGTGCTTATCATGTTCATTTTTCAGGTCAAAGTGGTGATAGTTGGACAGGATCCTTATCATGGCTACGGTCAGGTGGGTGCATTTTTTATACAATGATCTTTTATACATATTTGCAATATGAATTTATATGGCTGTGTAAGGTCGTGCACTTTATAATACATGTAGGTAGATAAATCTAAGCTGTTAAACAGATGGTTAATGATTGAACCTTTTTGAAGCTTTTCGTGCCTGAAATGATATACATAATGACACTTTCTTTAGAATTTTATTTGCTTCAATAAAGTGGTGGTGTGCCTGGATGTACACTTAGTTTGTTTGTTTGTTTTGGGTTTTACGTCACATCGACACAGTATAGGTCATATCGCGACGTTCCAGCTTTACTGGTGGAGGAAGACCTCAGGTGCCCTTCCGTGCATTATTTCAGGCACGAACGGGCACCTGAGTAGAACCACCGACGTTCCGTAAGCTAGCTGGATAGCTTCCTCACATGAAAGAATCCAAAGTCCCTGTCGGAATTCGAACCCACAGCGGTGATGTACACTTAGAAATTGGCTTTTTCATAAAATTTGACCAAGCTATATGCCCCTGATTTTAAGACATTTTTATGACAAGGAGTCCGTTTTAGAAGTGGAAAATATATGTATTAGATGGTTCGGTTAGTTCTCCTGTTGTAAGAAGACCTTGTAGAGGAGTTGTAATATAGTGGGAAAATTTCTTAAACAATATCTGTATATTCACGTTTCAGGCCATGGGTTTAGCCTTTTCCGTACCAATTGGCATACCAGTCCCATGCTCTTTGCAGAACATATATAAGATGTTATACAATGACCCGAGGATTCCTGAATTTGTGATATCTAATGGCCATCTCGTGAATTTTGGTAATCGGGGAGTGCAGATACCTAATCATGGCTGCCTCGTGAGTTGGGCCAAACAGGGAGTGTTGTTGTTGAATGCTATACTAACTGTGGAGTGAGATTTATTTCTTATCTTTATACATGTATATTAAATATCCCTGTCCAATATGTTTCTGTACGTTGGTATTCTACTTGCTACTTGTTTGTTTCTGAGATAATGCAAAGAGGTGTACCTGAGGTCTGCTTCCCTCTGTGAAGCTTAACGTAACCATGTGACTGTATCAAAATCAAACTGACCTAAAATTTAATAATTGAGAAATGTTTTTGCTCAATTTTGTATCTTTACCTTTAAGCTTTATATTATGGAATAGGAATACAAGCCGGAATATATTTAACTGAATCTTTATGCACGTGTCTTTACTGATTCATAATAGCAGGGGTACCTAATGTGGAACCATACCTCTTAGATTAATTTGTACTGAATTATTTCCCTTAATCAAAGCTATTGTTTCACTTGGGAGTATTGAGAATATTTGAGCATGCTAAAGTGTAGTTACTGTACCATCATTTTTATATTTTTGGAGTGGTGGCCTAGTGGTTAAGGTGTCCGCCTCTCAACCCAGGGATCATAGGTTCGAGCCCACTCCTGTCATGACCATGTTTCTTCATATTACACCATTACGGGTTGGTTCAAGGAAGCGGACTTGAAAGTGATTAATATAAAATACATCAACTTTGTTTCACACTAAAGCTTAGATAAATATGCTTAAACTAAACTAAACTATTTGTCTTTGTCTTCCAGGGCCGGTATGCCTAACTCTCATGCTAAAATTGGATGGCAGTATTTTACGGACGAGGTTATCAAAATAGTGAGCGACTACCAAGACCATGTCGTCTTCATACTGATGGGAGAATTTGCAAAATCGAAAAAGTATCTGATTGACGTGAATAAACATGATATCATTGAAACTACGCATCCAGCCTCTCGTGCATCATATCAGAACATGTTTCAAGAATCTAATTGTTTTTCTGTTTGTAATACTTTGTTAGAAGGATTCGGCAAAATACCTGTGTACTGGAATTCGCTTTAGGTCAAAATTGATTTAAACAATAAGCCACTGAACTTGGAACAGTCCATTAAGTGTATGTAATCATACGATTTTATCAATAATGTAGTTTCTCGTTAGGTTCAATTTTGCTTTTAAAGTTAAATGAAGAACTCTTTGGTTCCTATGCAATTTAGCTAGAAATGCTTCTTTTCATCCTACATTGTCATAACTTATACTTCTACAATATGCCATTTGGAATTCAATTCAGTCACGACCTTGCTCAACAGTTATTAATGATTAAAATTGATTTATGTTATTTCAAATCCAACAAATTTGTTTTATGTTATATAATATTGGCATGCTTGGATATATTCCGTACTTCCTTTATCCGTAAAGTTATCTTTAACGTGCATGCTATGGAAACACATTGCCCCCTACACAGTAGGTTAGGTTGTTCGTGGGCGGCTGTCATTCATATGACGGATTTGTGATCAATTTTGTTTAAATAATGATTTTCACAAGTTTGATCAGAGCATGCTTCTTGTGTGATATATCAAAAATGTATTGTTACCTTGCTGTTGTTTTGGTCTACATTTATATCAAATGACACTATACATATATCCTATTAATTGTGCTAAAAATTTTATTATATTTAGGTAATACTGTCAATTAAGCTGCTTGTACTTTTTAAATTGTTAACTCCTATGACTAAAAAAATGCTCATACCCTGTGTTCACAAAGATTTAAGGATCAGGATCAAATTCAAAAACTAGAATTGTATTTGTGTTTGTTTTGTTATTTGCTGATTTTATCCCAAAATATGTTTGTTTCTTTGCAAATAAGCAATCATTTATATTTCAAATATGTACCATTTAATTCCAGCATAATGCGATCAGTTTTAGTTTTATAAAACAATAAAAATAAATTAGGATAATCTGATCCTGATCCTGATCATTTCTTTGTGAACACGGGGCCAGGTGATGATTATTGTTACAAATTCCATGTTGATATGTGACAGTTCTTTTCATTATTGTTCACATACATTTTGTTATCAAGATTTTTCATTATTTTTCTCATGTTTGTATTCATCCTTTCATTAGACCATTCTGTTAACAACATTTAACATTTGAAACTTATTTTAATATTTTTGTATATACTTAATGTTTTTATTTCAGTTCTTTTCATTATTGTTCACATATATTTTGTTATCATGATTTTTCATTATTTTTCTCATGTTTGTATTCATCCTTTCATCAAACCATTCTGTTAACAACATTAAACATTGGTAACTTATTTTAGTATTCTTTCTTCTTTTTTCAAGCCCAAAATCTATACGGCAAAACTGGGATACAGTTTGAGGAAATATTCCCCATAGTAACTTGGTAACTTGGAAACCTAGTACAAAACTAACACTCCAAAAACTACACTCTGTAGAAAAATATTCTAAGAAAACACACTGAAAATATTTAAGTAATAATGTCAATTAAGCAGTTTGTACTTTTTAAGTTGTTAAATCCTAGGACTAAAAATGGTGATGATTGTTGTTATAAATGCCATGTTGCTATGTAACATTATTTTGTATTGAAACCTAATTGGTCATTTTGTATTTTAAAAAACAAAATTGTTAAAAAAAAATTTATCAGTTTAAAACGAAATCATTTTTAAAAATATTGTAAAAATGAAAAAAAATGAACAGTTAAAATCTAAATTTCCAAGCAATACCTTTTTGACTTTCCACTAGAAATAATTGTTTCTGTTTTTTAATATATACGTATTTGTTAATATCAGAATTACCTGTGCATATTATATTATATTGTTTGTGGTATTCAACTAAAAAAACATTAAATTATAAAACGAAACTCCCTCTGGGATTCAGATGTCCATCTCAGGGAGTTTTGATGTTCTGCTGCTTATTTTTGAAGTAGTAAAAGCTCTCTAAGGTTAATTAATTATTTTATTTATTGGGCATTTTAGCATTTAGTTAACCTTAGACTTTATCTTAATTCCCAGAAACATCTTGATAAATTTGTAAGTAATTTTAAATAGTAATTTCTTTTAAAATAACTAATTAATATTAATTAATTTCTTTTCTTTGTTTAAGAGGCAGCCATCTTGAATTATTAGATTTTATTTCTTGTTAGGATAACTTTAAAACAGGGCTTGCTTTAAGGTTATTTTTCATATTTTCAGTTATTACATTCTTAACAACTTTCAACTGATTTTAAACTTTTATTCAACTATTTTATTCTGATTATCATAGTTTGGTTAAATAAGAAATACTTCTATTAAAATACACATTGTAAACTGGTTTAGCTTTAAATACCTTAGTTAAGTGTAAAGAAACTTACTTTGATAAAAATTTAGTTTATTTCATTTGAGTTTTACTTCCCTTTGCATTCAAAGGGTGGGATTATCAAAATAGATATTTCCCCATTAAAGAGTACTGCTGAGCAAACTAAGAACATAAAAAAGTAGATATAAGGAAATTCGTAAGTAACACCATTTTATTTATAGAAAACAAAAGTTGTTGTTTTTTTTCAACACCACAGTAAATCTATGTACATGTATATTTATGAAATATTATTGTCTTTGGTAATTAAGCCGACATTTCATATCCCGCCAGCGACTTTTATTATCTTTTGTGAAGAATATTGGTAGTACTGCGTGGTGATGGTGTTAGTTTTCGCTCCGGCTCACAGTAGTAAGCCACATTGAGTTTACCAAAGCACAGTTCAGCAAGGACAGACTGTCAAGCACTTTGCCAATATAAGTTGCTTTCACTTCGCAAGAAACTGACTTTTTAACATGCCAGAGCAGAACTACAGTGCGAATGACCCTAGAAATATTTTCATGATCAATCACAACAACGAAAGTGACCTGCACCGTCCGGGAATCGAACCTGAGTCACCCGATTCACAGTCCTACGTTCTTACTTTTGAGCTAACCGGACGGTCTAGTGAAGAACTGAATATCGAACTTACGATCCCCGAATGTCTATCCATTGCCCATATTTCACCTTCTCTCAAAATATAAAACATATTGTTAAGGACAGACGTACCGGAGGAAAGAAGTGCACTTTTAAATAGCCATTGTTCTATACAAAACTACAAATATCTTTTACATCGCAAATGTTGAACGTGATCAGCGGCATTGACACGGACACCCTCCTCAGCCATGAATACGTGACACTAGCGTGTTTTCTTTACAGATATCAGCATGATCGTCTTAAGGAGATCTAGTAATATTCTTGTGGATGTGTACTTTGTGTTAATTAATCATTTATCTCAATTATACCAGTTTTGTTTTGCTTCTTCCTTTTTGTTAACTAATTACATTATCCTATTCTATTTTAGTCTCGCCCGTTGTTTTTGATCCGCTTATATAGTGTCGCCCAATACGGTTTGTTTTGGGAAAATACCATATTCATCAAGATACAAATCTATGTCTGCATAACTGGAAATACATAAATTCATCCATATTAGGCGAAGCTTTAAATTTATTTACCCAGAGATGTAGAAAATAGATTTCTATGTATCTGGTTTACCTTACTGCACTTATACAACTGGTTGGTTAATTCAATAAATCTTATGTAAAAATTGCATTTGTCTATACAATTTATTTAAGTTCGATTGTTAAGGAAGCTATAAGCTTATATATAGACAAACTTTCGAATCCGTTCCTGGAACCAAACTGTACTGAGCAATGAGTGTAAAGTTTCTTGCTCAAGTAAGAACGGCTTCACCTTGACGCGGTTTGAACCCACACGGCTCTATGCCGCCACTGTAAATTGCACTGAACAGGATGTTAGTTTGGTGGGATTTTAAAAGCAGTTCGGTCATCATTCACAAGCTAGTTACATGTTTCTGTGCTCAGTGACCACTCCAATTTGTATATTTAACTTTTAAGTTTGTGGTTACATTTCAAACAAGATTGTAATTCCTACCATCTGTGAAATGTTACTTAAACCACAGAGCAATATTTAATATAAGTCTCTGCTAAAACGATTATATCTGCTAAATTCTCATTTGGAAAACTGTCAATAAGTATTATACCAGTGGAATGTTTCTGGTTTACTTTTTGAGCTTTGGCGAAATATTGATATCAAGATAAACAATATAAATATGATACAGTACTTCTTAAGTTTAATTATTCCCCAAAAATATTCATGTCGGTGAAAAAAACTCTTTAAATGTTTTCTTTGGTAGCTACGTGTATAATATTGGTGTTGGGAGATTCAGTAGGACAGGGAATTCACTGTCTCTTCAGTGCAAGGTGCAGCCGTCTTTAAAAAACCAAATGAGACTATCTGATAATGCATATATAATTAACTCTTGAAACAAAAGCGATCGTTAGACTTCTCGTACCTTTAACAGCGTAATTGTAAGAAATAAAAAAATACTTTTCGGATTCACTCTCTATGTTATTATCGATTAAAAATCGAAAATCCGATACTTTTAATGACAAAGAAACTCTTGTTGCGATTTCATGATATCTTAAAAACAAAGTCAGTGAAAATATGTTGGATCCAAAGCCATATAGGAATAAGATGGTATAAAAAAGATGATTTTCCTAAATAATCTTTATATGTTCAACAATAAGAGTAACTGATTTAAACCTTCCATAAGTAAGCATATCATCTAAATTGAAATCAAATTGGGAAAAGTCATATTTAATAAACATCATGATACAACCCCTGTCTTAACGCGTCGCTGTTTCTCTTAGTTGAGGAATAGGACATATTAATTTGAGTTACACATTCTCATCTTTTTAACAGGCGATGGTTCTCCGTTCTGTCTATATTGCGATGAATATTTAAATGTCAAACATTTTATCCTTGAATGCCATAAATATGCTGCACAGGTTCGTGAATCTAAAAATGTAAAACTATGACAGGTCACACCTGTTCATATATTTATACCTTTAAAAATAATGGCCGTTAATGAAAAGAGCCCGGTTGTTAATGTTTATAATTTTCACAAAGTAGGGTAATTAAATATTTCTTTAGCTTGTTTAAAGCCGTTATCTAGATGTTTTAGCCTTTGTTATTCGAAATCATGCAATCGTTGGGTTAAAAGATCTCTTGATACCACACAATGCATAAGGTTAAAATATGATAAGATCAACAAATAAGTATCTTTTTTAAAAAATCTTAAAGTCTTTTGTATCTTGTTAACTCAATAATTATTTGTAGATCAGCTTGTACTATATCATTTATACGGTGGCACAGAGGTAATAATAATAATAATTTGTGGGCTTTTATTTATCTCGTGCTTACAAGAAACTATGTCTTGGCCACGAGGTACTAAGTCGTGCGCACGAGATGATTAAGTGGTGCGCACGAGATTCTTTGACGTGGCCACGAGTTGAAAAGTCATGCGCACGAGATAATTAATTCGTACGCACAAAAATCTATGTCTTGGCCACGAGTTACTAAGTAGTGCGCATGAGATAATTAAGTGGTGCGCACGAAATACTATGTCTTGGCCACGAGGTTCTAAGTCGTGCGCCCGAGATTCCATGACGTGGCCACGAGTGACAAAGTCGTGCGCACGAGGTAATTAAGTCGTGCGCACGAACAACTATGTCTGGGCACGAGTTACTAACGAGTTCGCACGACATAATTAAGTGGTGCGCACGAAATACTATGTCTTTGCCACGAGTAACTTAGTCGTGCGCACGAGATTAATTAAGTTGTGCGTACGAGATTCTATGTCGTGGCCATGAGAAACTAAGTCGTGCGCACGAAATTATTAAGTGGTGCACACGAGATACTATGTCGTTGCCTCGAGTTATTAAGTCGTGCGCACGAGATACTTTGTAGTGGCCACGAGTTACTAAGTCGTGGGAGATAAGTAAGTGCTCGTGCGCAAGGCGTATATAAAACGCACAAATGTTACCTCTGTGCCACCGTAACATAATATAACTGATTTTCGAAATCACGTGATTATAGCGTTGTTAGACTGCGTCAAGCCTAATACACCGTTCAGTGCCAAATAGTTCAGTACCATACAGCGATTGATATTGAAGGTTTGATAGATATTTTAAGGTAGGTTTTTTATTTATGTATCGTTTTGGTTGCTTTTCCATATAACTCTATTTGACTCTATTTGACTCTTCCGAAAAAATCAGTTTTGTTTAATCTATTATAGTCCTTGGGTCAAAATTGGGCCCACCCAAGGGGTCTTTGATTTTCATTATATACATAAAGGAAAAACTGAAAATAATTTTCTTGTCTGAAGGGATACAACTTATATTGGAATATATTTTATACATGTTTTGCAATTTTTCTATAAAAAGATTCAATAGCGGAAGTCAGTCTAAACTTGTGATGTGAGTTTTTCGGGGATATTTAAAGAAACAGATTGAGCACATTAAAATGACATTATGAATTGTACCATGTATTAAAGGATGATTTTAAATCGCATAATTATGCATTTAGAAAGTGGTAATGCTTAATTGAAAAAATAGTATTTAAGAAAAGTAACTCAACCTGTATTTTAAAGTTTAATACAGCTATGTTATACAGTAAATACTTAATTCTTTGTCAAGTTTTAACTAATAACTGCACTATGACCTTTGTATCTTCACATTAGACACATTAGCCGTCAGTGGCCGAGTGGTTAAGGTTATTGACTTCATACCACTTGACTCTCACCGCGGGGGGTTCGAATGCCAACAGTGATTTGGGATTCTTTCATGTGAGGAAGCTATCCGGCTAGCGTACTGAGTGTCGTTGTTCTACTCAGGTGACCGTTCGTGCCTCTGAAATAATGCAATAAATTGATGTCTTTTGTGTCTAATGTGGAAATGCCTTGGGAGGTCCTTTTCATTTTGGTTCAGTTAGGGATCATTTTGGTGAAGGTCAAGGCCACCAATGTCAAAAATAGATTTTCACACTTTTACAGGTGTAACTTTATTCTTTTGACATATTTTTAAATTGTATTTGGTGGGAAAATAAAATTGAGAAATCTTCTCCATTTGGATGGAGTTAAGGGTCAGTTGTTCACAGTAACTATTGCTAAAGCCCGTCTCACACAAAACACGGTTAGACACACGATTCCCATACGGTATACTCGGTTATACACGGGTTGACTGGTACGAGTTTTGAGCTCCAACCGTGCTTGTGGTTTAGTTGGCACGAATAAGACTCGAATATAGCACGAGTATGTACGAATTGAGCACGGATATACTCGGTCAAGCAAGGTTTGAACACGATTTGCATACGAATACATACGACTGTTGTACTGTTCCAAGTACGGTCTAGTACGGTCTGGTACGATTAAACACGACTTTTACTCGATTTACTCGACTTTCACAGGGTTAACATAGGGTCCCGCCGACTTTTGTTCGAGTTAGGCTTGAAATATCACACATTTGTGTATGTTTTGATATAAATTAACCCATTTTGATGACTTGGCTTCATGAATTTTCGAAATTTCAACGAAGAACACTTATATATAGATCATTATAATACTGCACGTTTGTAATTTCGCTTTTCATTGGATAATCGTGACGTTTATATATTTTTATATACATGGCTGCTGTCGATTTATAAAGAAATCTCGCTTTATTCCTCTAAAAATGATGCTTGCTGTATTATAAATTCGTTATAAAGATTGTTGACAGGTTATATGGCCTTATATATATAAACGGCTGTTTGCAATATAACCCTCGCCTAGCGGCTCGGGTTATATTTACAAACAGCCGTTTATATAAGGCCATATAACCTGTCAACAATCTTTATAACTAATATTAACATCAATAAATGAATAAAAAGGTGAAGCAATGTAAAACGAATGTGTTTTTTTTCTGTTGTGCAGCGGTTGCTGGAAGGTCCACCGAGCTGGCATTGGAGTCTGAATCCCTGGGAGACACGGTTATTGCCGGTTTGTCCTTCAGCTTATCAGGGTCAATAAGTTGGAGTGGTCGGTGGGCCTGGATGGCTCTTCTTGTATTCCATCTATGCGTACAAAACTTCTTCTTTGGATACATTCTAGTGTGATGCAGCAAGCACTCTTGGTAGGGTGGCAGCAGGTAGTTGTGTTTTTTGTACCGTTCTTGCTGACGTAGAGGCCGTGTTAGATCGTACGAGACCGTGTGAGACCCTGTATACCCGTACTTTACTGTGTCGGCCATGTATGTTTCGTATATGAACCGTATTGGTCGTATGGCGATCGTATGAAACCGTGTGTGCACTCGTTTGAATCGTACCGTGATCTTGTGACATTCGGGTGTTAATCGGGTGTTGGATGTAGGACTTTGGGACGGTCTCGAACGATTTAGTACGATTTATATACGACCTTGATACGGTTGGGCTCACTCGTGGAGTGAACTTCACATACGGCTGTATATACGGTCTCATACGGTCTCATACGGTCTCACACGGTCTCTTACGGTCTTGTACGGTCGCTTATAAATACGGTCATACACGGACATGGCATCCGTACCAGTTTTTTAAAAATTTTAAAAATCATACACGGCTTACACGGATACACTCGAATGGCCCGTGTGTAACTCGGATAATGCTACGGTTAGTTCGGTTGTATGTACGGTTTACACGGGTGGCCAACCGTGTAAGCCGTGTGTCCTGTGTGAGATGGGCTTAAAATATATTTTTACACATTTGTTCAAACAGCATGTTGACAGATGTATTTCATATTTGGCAGAAAAATAACTTCCGTGGTCTTGTTTCTTTGCATTGAGTTTTGGGTCAGTTGGATCTAAGTCTCCTGTGCTAAAATAATTTTTTACAAGTTTACCCATAAAGCCTTTATTTATGGGCAGATTTTTTTCATATTTGGTATGAATATAATTGTCTCGCATGATCTTCTTCCTTTGGATTTTGACAGGGGTCAGTGGGTCAAGATCGAGGGTGCTAAAATAGATTTCTAGATATTTGCTTATACCGCCTATATTTATAGACTGATATTTTACATATTTGGAAGGAACATACCTTGGATGGTCCAGTTAGGAGTCACAATGTCAAGGTTTCTTGTGCTGACTGAAAGATTTTTTACGTACGCTTTTCCATTTTTTATACAGCCTTTACATTTAATACCAATGTCTCATATTTACAAGGAACATAGTCCTTATTTGGTCCTTTTAGCTTTAATGGAGCTTGGGGTCACTGGGTTCATGGTCAAGGTCTTGCATTTATATATATTTGATACAGTATTATTGGTAAGGCGAATATTTTTCAACTTCATCACAAGTCATAGAAATGACTTGGCAAAATATATTTTTCACAATTACAAAACGCCATGACTCTGTCAAGTGTTTGTCTAGTAAACTGTGTTTACCTTTCTTGGGGCAATTTTCTGTCCATATCTGAGTAAACGGGAAAACTTTTCTGAGCCAGGGCATTTAGGTTTAACAAACACGTTCTTGTTTTTTAATATAGGTTGACACAATACTTTAGATAAAGTAAAAGCAGGAACTAAGACTTCAGTAAAAGTAAATAAGTACCACAAAAGAACATAAAGGCCACTTAAAATGGAATGGAATCTACCACCTACAGGGGAGCTTCATTTGATGGGATTTCTAAATGACGATTTATGGAGAAAGGAGCTGGCACCACAGTTTGAGCAGCCGTATTTTAGATCTTTAGAAGAAAGATTACAGAAAAACAATGGCCAAATCAAAAAGATATTTCCACCCCCGGAACTTGTATTCAATGCTCTTAACCTTACACCTTTGAAAAAGGTATTACTAATTTACTATTATTTTAAATCTTGTTAAGTCCCACCTCCGTTCCAGCATATATATTAGTTGTTGTACTTATCATGCCATTATTTAGTTCAGTAAACTTAACTTATAGTGCATACTGATTTAGCAAATTTCTGGTTATAAATAAGGAGCAAATAGTTTTGCTGTCTTCATTTAATATAAAATTAAGTAACACTATAGTGAATATTGTTTTAAAGAATGTTTGCTAATAAAAACTCATATTTAAGTCCCAATTGATGAAATGAAATGAACTAAAAATATGATGTTTACTACAAACTTAAAAAAAAAGGACAACCTATTCTATGTTTGTTTTCATTGGCTTATGATAAAATCTTCATCTCCAACAAGGCTGGTAAAATAATATTCAGGAAAATGATTTTTATTTTGAGGCGAACTGCTCTATGGTTTGAACCTAAGAATATGAATATAATTTGATAATTATATGAACTTTATGTATCATGTGATTAACATGTACATTTTTCAGGTCAAAGTGGTGATTCTTGGACTGGATCCTTATCATGGCTACGGTCAGGTGGGGGCAATTTTTATGCAATGATCTTTTACACATAATTGCATTATACATTTATTTGGCTGTGTAAGGTTGTGCACTTTATAATACATGTAGGTAGATAAATCTAAGCTGTAAACAGATGGTTAATGATTGAACCTTATTAAAAAATTTCGTGCCTGAAATGATATACATAATGACACTTTCTTTAGAATTTTATTTGCTTCAATAAAGTGGTGGTGTGCCTGGATGTACACTTAGAAATTGGCTTTTTCATAAAATTTGACCAAGCTATGCCCCTGATTTTAAGACAATTTTATGACAAGGAGTCCGTTTTAGAAGTGGAAACTATATTATTAGATGGTTCGGTTAGTTCTTCTGTTGAAAGAAGTCATTGTAGAGAAGTTGTAATGTAGTGGGACAATTTCTTAAACAATATCTGTATATTCACGTTTCAGGCCATGGGTTTAGCATTTTCCGTACCAATTGGCATACCAGTCCCATGCTCTTTGCAGAACATATATAAGATGTTATACAATGACCCGGATATTCCTGAATTTGTGATATCTGATGGCAACCTCGTGAATTTGGCTGATAAGGGAGTGTGGATACCTAACCATGGCTGCCTCGTGAGTTGGGCCCAACAGGGAGTGTTGTTGTTGAATTCTTCACTTACTGTGGAGTGAGATTCATTTCTTATCTTTATACATGTATATTTCAACTTGCTACTTGTTTGTTTCTGAGATAATGCACAGAGGTGCACCTGAGGTCTGCTTCCCTCTGTGAAGCTTAACCTCACCATGTGACTATTACAAAATCAGACTGACCTAGAATTTAATAATTGAGAAAAATATGTGCTCTTCTTTTAAATTTTTACCTTTAAGTTTTATATTATAGAATAGGAATTCAAGCCGTTATTTATTCAACTGAAGCTTTATGCATGTGTCATAATAGCAGGGTTACCTGCGGTAGAACCATAACTCTAGGATTAATTTTTACTGAATTTTTCCCCTTGATCAAAGCTGTTGTTATCCTTGTAAGTACTGAGAATATATGAGCATGCTTAAATGCTGAAATTTTGCACAAAGTTTAGTGGTCTAAACCTACATCAAATGATACATTTATCTGGAAAAATATTTTCAGTCCCATAATGTCTAAAAACTACAGTGTATTAGTTTTACACCTTTTAGTTTATTTACTGTACCATCATTTAGCAGCGGCCTAGTGGTTAAGGTGTCTGCCTCTCAAACCAGGGATTATGGTTTTGAGCCCTACCAAGGTCATGACCATGTTTCTTCATATGACACAGGTTGGTTCCAGGAAGAGGACTCGAAAGTGAATAATATAACTTATTTTAAAGTCAAGCTTAAATAAATATGCTTAAACTAAACTAAACTATTTGTCTTTGTCTTCCAGGGCTGGTGATCCCGAATCTCATGCTAAAATTGGATGGCAGCATTTTACGGACGAGATTATCAGAAAAGTGAGCGAGTACCATAAACATGTCGTGTTCATACTGATGGGAGATTTTGCAAAAAAGAAAAAGAAATGCATTAAACCGTTAGAACAACATAAAATCATTGAAACCACGCATCCAGCGTCTCGTGGACAACATCAGGACATGTTTCAAGATAGTTATTGTTTTTCTGTTTGTAATAATTGGTTAAAAACACAAGGACTAACTCCTGTGCAATGGAATCGCCTTTAGTTCAAAATTGATTTGAATAAATATTAGTTTATTACATGCATGTATTTCTTTTCAATTACACACTGTACATCCCATATTAGATGACAAAATTCTGTATTCACATTTTATAACTAGAATAGTGTTACAAATGGTTAAAAGTGTTACACTGATTATTTTCTTTTCTAAAACATATAAGAAGATTAATTTATGGTATATATAGGTAAGAAAAGTAATTCAAAGATGTTTTCTAAATTGCCAACTTCTTAGTTTGGTTTATCGTATATAAGCAAAGGGAAGTAACGATGCATGGCCAACGACTACATGTAACTGTCTCTAAGTAAATATCTATATGGTGACTGAAAATATAATATTAATGAATTTGTTACTTTTTGTAGGTATCATAAATTCTTTCATTTTTATGTCCGCAGCTGAAAAGTTGGGAGCATACTATAATTGGCTGGTCAGTTTTTACATCTTCAAAATCTTGAGAAGGAATAAGCCTAGGATTTTGTACCTTGGTACATCGTAGGGTCAGTTCCAATGACCAGTGGATTACCCCTTTCGATTTGAGGTCATAAGGTTAAAAATCAATATCACCATGACAATTTAATGAAAAACAATGACTAGAGAAAAAATAAGTTTTGGCTTATGTAATAAGGTAGGGTCATTGCTCATGACTAGTAGATGACCCCTTTTGATTTTGAGGTTTAAGGTCAAGGTCACAACAGTGACACAGTGTAAAATCCTTGCCTGATTAACAACTTAAGAACTAATACTCCGTGTCTTAAGTAAAATGGTAGGAACTATGACCCATGGCCAGTTAAGGTCACTAGGTTAAATAAAGGTCAAGATCAGAGTGACACTTGATGAAAAATTCTTGTTTGGTCATCAATTATTTGAAAAAAGAAATACTAGTAGCCAGAGTTTGTTAAAGTGGTTGGGATATTGCACATAGTAGATAGCTCCTATATACAGCTTGAGCTCCTTTACATTTTGAGTTCATAAGGTCAAGGTCATTGTGTTTTTATGGGAAATCCTTTCCTAATCAATACATTGTAACAAAAGTTTCCTCAGTCATAGGTTTGCTATTTTTTATTTATACTATTTATACATATTACTTATTATATATTAATATAACTCTTAACCTTCATGAAAATATGCGTTAAGTATGTGTATGTAACTATGCCCGATGACTGTTGTGAAAAGCAAACACGTTTGGGCGGGGGAGGGGGCGGGGGCTCATTGCCCTATGGACAGATTTCTTGCTTGTTAGCTCACCAGAACCGAAGGTTCAGGATTAGCTATTAGTATCAAAGGGGGATGCTCCGTCGTCATACGTCAACAATCGTCTTCTTCTCTGAAACTGCTGGGCAGATTTACTTCATATTTGGTATGTAGCATCTTTGTGACAGTCACACTTAAATTTGCTTATGCCGTAACAATTGGCCCCTTTTAGGGGTCAACAGAGCTAAAAGAAAATTAGGGAAACCTTTAAACATCTTCTACTACAGAACTAATTGATAGATGATCATCCTTTTAGGGGTCTCTAGGGCTAAAAATAGAAAAAAAACTTTTAGACATCTTCTTCTACAGAACTAATGGATGGATGATCACAAAACTTTGTCTGAAGCATTCTTTATTAGTCTTTTATCAAATTTGCATATATTAATTTGATTGGCCCCTTTTAGGGGTAGCTAAACCAAAAAATAGAAATACCTTTAAACGTCAGTTTCTACAGAACTAATGGATGGATGATCACCAAACTTTGTCTGTAGCATTCTTAAGTAGTCTTTTATCAAGTTTGCTCATATTAATTTGATTGGCCCCTTTTAGGGGTCTCTAGAGCTAAAAATAGAAAAAAAAACTTTTAAAATCTTTCTGTACAGAACTCATTGATGGATGATCATCAACCTTTGTCTGTAGCATTTTTGGGAAGGAAGTCTTTTATCAAGTTTGCCCATATTATTTTGATTGGACCCTTTTAGGGACCACTAACGCTTAAAAAAGAAAAATAACTTTAAACGTCTATTTCTACAGAACTAATTGATGGATGATCACCAAACTTTGTTTGTAGCATTCTTAGGTAGTCTTTTATCAAATTTGCTCATATTAATTTGATTGGCCCCGTTTAGGGGTCTCTAGAGCTAAAAATAGAAAACCCTTTAGACATCTTTTTCTGCAGAAATAATTGATAGATGCTTACCAAACTTTGTCTGTAGCATTTTTGGGGTTTTGGGAAGTCTTTTATTAAGTTTGCTCATATTAATTTGATTGGCCCCTTTTAGGTGACCCTAAAGTTAAAAATAGAAAAAAACCTTTAAACGTCTGCTTCTACAGAACTTATCGATGGATGATCACCAAACTTTGTCTGTAGCATTCTTAGGTAGTATTTTATCAAGTGTGCTAATATTAATTTGATTGGCCTCTTTTAAGGGCTGCTAAAGCTAAAAATAGAAATACATTTAAACATCTCCTCTTACAGAACTAATTGATGGATGATCATCAAATGTTGTCAGTAGCATTCTTGGGTAGTCTTATATCAAATTTGCTCATATTAATTTGATAAGCCCTTTTTTAGGCGCCATTTAAGCGAAAAATAGAAAAAAAACCTTTGAACATCATTTTTACATAAGTAATTGATGGATGATCACCAATTTTTGTCTGCAGCATTTTTGGGTAATCCATAATCAAGTTTGCTCATATAAATTTGATTGGCTCCTTTAAGGGGCCGCTAAAGCTAAAAATAGGAAAACCTTTATCGGTCTCCTACAGAACTAATTGATGGATGATCACCAAATTTTGTATTAATTTAATTTGCCCCGTTTATGCTAAAGCTTAAATGTCCTAATTCATGGCATTTCTTCAAATTATTGTTTAAAGATATTCTTTGCTCAAGTTCATATATGAAAATATTGACAATGGATAATTTCCAACACTGAAAAGCAGTTGTTTCTGGTGAGCGACTCATGGCCATCATGTCCCTCTTGTTAATTAGTTCATATACTTATAAAGCGTTAAAGTTTATTAATTCACAAACTATTTCCCGATAAATAACGTCATATAATATTTAAACTAATTTATTTCTATATCTAAATGAACATGTGTATTGGTATTATCATAATACTTTATTAATGCATAAAACAGATCTACGTATGTAAATGGAATATTATTGTCTTTGGTAATTATAATTAAGCCGACATTTCATATCTCGCCACTTTTGATTCTCTTGTGTGAAGAAGCTACCCAGCTAATGGTGGTTTTGGTAGTGTTCACTGCGGATTTCGGCAGTAAGTCAGAGCACAGGTCAGCCACCGCATTGTTCGTGGACAGGTTGTCAAGGCTGATAACTTTTGTACATGCCAGAGCAGAGGCACAGTACAAATGACCGTAGAACTGAACTTTCTGACTATTGAGCTAACCCGGACGGTCTAGTGAAGAATTGAATATCGAACTTAAGATCACAGAATTTCAATCCATTGCCCATATGGCCCATATTGACCTTCTCTCAAAATATAAAACACATCGTTAAGGACAGACGTACTGGAAAAAAGAAGTGCACTTTTAAATCTTCATTGTCTATACAAAATTACAAATATCTTTTACATCACAAATGTTGAACGTGATGAGCGGCATTGAAACGTACACCATCCTCAGCCATGAATACGTGACACTAGCGTGTTTTCTTTAAAATATCACCATGATCGTCTTAAGGAGATTTAGTTATATTCTCGTGGATGTGAACTTTGTGTTAATTAATCTTTTGTCTCAGGCATACCAGTTTTTGTAATACTTATTACAATACCTTGTTCTATTTTAGTCTCACCCGTTGTTTATGTTCCGCCTTAAGTGTCACCCAATACGGTTTGTTTGGGGAAAATACCATATTCATAAAGATACAAATCTATGTCTACATAACCGAAAATATATAAATTCTTCCATATTAGGCGACATAACCGAAAATATATAAATTCTTCCATATTAGGCGAAACTTTAAATTTGTTTTCCCAGAGATGTAGATAACAGTTATCTATGTATCTGGTTTACCTTACCGCACTTATAAAACTGGTTGGTGGTTAATCCAATTAATCTAATGTTAAATTGCATTGATTACAGAAATTATTTAAGCTCGGTTTTTTAAGAAGCTAGATCTATAAGCTTATAGACAAACTTTCGAATCAGTTTCTGGAACAAACCTGTATTGAGCAATGAGTATAAAGGTTCTAAAGCAAACAAAGGCTTTCCCCTGACGGGGTTTGAAACCCACACACCCACACGGCTTGCGATCAGATTATTAGTCCGACGCGTTAGGCCGCTATTCCATTTATACGTGATCAGTGGTCCGCGTCCGTCATCCGCATCCGTTACCGATTCGCTAACCAAAGAATACGTTGAATCTATTCCTTTTGTCCGTTTACCATCCGCTTCCGCGACGGCATCCGCGACGTTTCGCAGGATGAGCGATTTTTTACGGACGCGGACAGTCACTGACATGTCTCATCCCTACAAAATGCCTCGAACGAAATTAAATACTTTCTCGATTTCGAAAGAAAATACTAAAGAAGTCACCAAAATAGTGTAGGAGAACATATAAGTTTATGATGCAGCAATGACAGATTAAAAAAAAACCATCTGGTCAATGGTTGCTAAAGAGATGTTATTTGAAAACCTTACTGATATTCAATGTTTGTTACCTAATTCTTTGATGTTACAACTGTTTTTGGTATTAGAATGAAATTATATCATATTCTACAAATAATTATCCTCTGTTCGCTATACTTCAATTAAAAGTATATAGAAAATAACGTACCTATGGAATAATACCCACGGACATGCCCAGACACGGATCACTGACGCGGACCACTGATCACGTATAAATGGAATAGCGGCCTTTTATGCACTGTTCATGCCGATACATTAAATTGTATTGGAGAGGATTTTATTGGAGAGGGGGGGGGGGGGGTACGTTTTAAAATCACACCGACACCTTATATACTCTTGCATGTAATTGATTATCAGTTCCTTGCGAAGGTGAAGCAACTAGTAGATGTAAACTGCATGAATGAACCACAGAGCTAAATTTAAATATAAGTAATATAAGTCTCTGCTAAAACGATTATTTCTGCTGAATTCTCATTGGAAAACTGCCAATACTTCTTAAGTACCAAACATATTCCAAACATACTACATGTCGATGAAAAAAGAAAACATCTTGAATTTTTTTCTTTAATAACTACGTGTGTTTCACGGGTGTAACATGGGTGTTACATGGTAGTTACATGGGTGTAACATGGATGTTACATGGGTGTAACATGGATGTAGGGGTACATCAGTAGAACAGCTAATCTACTGGCATGGGTGAACAAAATTTGTTGCTCGATATAAATATATTTCATTTCTTAACTGCGGGGGGGGGAAGCTATATTTCTGCACCATGTAAACATTGCATGCCGAAATTAAAGTTACATTATGTTCATGTTTTAATGTCGAGCTGAACTGACTATGTATTCCAGATAATTGCCTGTTACAATGGTGATTGACTGGAAAGTGGTAAGGATAAAATATGAATTTACCTAAAATATTTTTAAAACAACTAAAAAACTGCGCCACTCTTTTTATTAATTTACGTTAGAGGTAAAATCCGATAGATATTATTTAGATAGAAAGCAACATCCGTTACTATGGAAAAAAAACGCATTGTAAAAAATGTCTATAAAATACATTGATGTTTTTGTCTAAACATGATAGGGCTGTATATTTTGGGCAGTAATAGAGGGAAGGAGAGGGGTACCATTATGATAGTCTTGGTCACACCACGAGTGTCAGTAAAGTAAATATTTTTCTGGGAAGTGTATAGAAACCACACCCGGGTTTTCTTTTAATAGAAATGAATTTGTACTTAGTATGGGATATTATTATTTAAAATGTAACCAATGCATTTTCAGAATTTGTTATTCATATTTTCCAAAAGAATTCTTAATTGGATTCAATCTTATAAATTAAGCCTCGTCTACATATTCAGAGTCCAAAAAGTCCATATCAGATCTATATCACACTCCTTATAGCCGCGTTTTAATTTTCAGAGTCCAAAGGGCTCATATCAAATCCATATGGCACTCCATCTAGCCTCGTTTTAATCGTACGAGAGTTCAAATTGCATATCAAAAGAAACAAAGTTCTGTCAAAATGTTAAAAAAATGATGATGTGAAATAAATAGGTCATTATAAACATGGTTTAGAACAAAACAAATTCTATTGGACACAGCTGCAAAACCTATATCAGACTTGGCTAACACCTCTTCCAATATACATGTAGTTTTAATAGCTGTGTACTGGTCCAATAGAGTTCAGTATTGTACTCAGCATGTATATATAATAACCTCATATTATTGCATCCTAGTCCTGTGTATCCGTAATGATGATATGAGATAGGTATATATATGTACAATACAGGAAAATGTGCACTTAGAGCTAATATGATAATTTTAATGATATTGCGATTTAAAAAAGACCTAAAATAAATGGTTTTACTAAATTCGGTTTATTCCGATGGCAAGCCAAGCGTTTACAAAACTAAAAACAAAACTTCATCAGGTCACGAGGACTAAGGGCACGAGGACTCCGGTCACGCGCATATCAGTAACGTATCATCTATTTCACACGGTAACCCAGTGACATTGATTTTTCTTTCAAAAAACTTAAAAGTATGTGACACAGATATGTTGCTTTTGTTTCTATAGTTATTTTAGTTGATAATTTGATAACATCTTGAAAGTTGATACACAAAAAACGATATAATATACGAACCCTTATAAGGACAAAACAGTTATTGACACATTGATGTAACAAGTACACCCGAGTAGTAAATAATAGGACAAGCTTAAAATTTTCGTTTGTTATTTGTCATATAAGTTTATTTTTAAATTTTACTTATATAACTAGTTTGTTGTTGTTTTTTTTGTTGTTTTTTTGTTGTTTTTTTTGTTGGTTTTTTTGGCATTTAGTTTGCTTCAGTATTAAAGCCCCATACCCCATAATGCCTCAGAATTTATTTTTTATTTCTCAAAAACTTTTGTCTTGTTACAGTTTCTAAATAATACAGATTTGCTTTATAGATGAATTACCTTTTACTTCTTTTGCTCTATTGCATTTGGTAAATTTTAGTGAATACTTTTACTATGACATGACACATAAGTGCACATTTTGCACTACTTTCCTCAGTTGATGTTTTTTGTCTGTTTTTTTTATTATCCAATTATATACAAAGTATATGTTTTTTAATCTTATTGAGAAAACGACAACCACGGGCAACTTAATGCGCATGCGCACCTGCTCCGTTAATGTAATTGTATGTGACTAAATTTAACTTTAGAGGATACAAATGAATGCCAACAAACAATTTGTTTACACGGGCCTTAGATTCGCTGAAGCACTTCATTTCCTTTTAAAAATCTTGGGCAAGTTGGAATTCTTATATTCTTTAGGCAGCTTGACTGATACAAAGTTCACGTAAGTAACCAGAACTTGTTGTTATTAATATTTATTTGATAATCAAAATATTGAAAACAATCTTTGAATCATGTATTTTTTTTTAAAGTTCAAAAAAATCTGAATTAAATCATTTGATTAGTTTAAATAGTAAAACCTAATAAAAAAGAAATATTTTTTAGAATCTTTTATTTCTTTTTCCTGCAGTGGTCACCGCATCTACAAATGAGCCGTGTCACGACAAAACCAACATAATGGGTTTGCGACCAGCATGGATCCAGACCAGCCAGTGCATCCGCACAGTCTGATCAAGATCAATAATGTTCGCTTACAAACTCTTTAACAAGTAGAGAAACTGATAGCGAACATGCAGCATGGATCCTGATCAGACTGCGAGGATGCCCAGGCTTGTCTGGATCCATGCTGGTCGCAAACCCATTATGTTTGTTTTGTCGTGACGCGGCTCATTATGTTCTTCTTATATAAAAATGGAATATTTGGCGTTTTTTTTTATTTCTATTTCTTTTCTTATTCACAAATAATAGATGATTTTAAAAAGCATTATAATATATAGTAAATATTCCGTTTGTTTACAGACATGTTAAAGGAAGGAATAAGAGACCCAGCCTGGCAACGGGTGTTAGAAGAAGAATTCCGGCAGCCTTATTTCACGGAACTTGAAGAAAAATTAGCGGATGAATACGATTCCGGTGAACTGATTTATCCAGACAAAACCAGAATATTTCAGGCACTCAACCTTACCCCATTCTACGAGGTATGTTTTTGTTTCTGGTAAATATTGTCTTGAAGTTTTGTAAATATAATTATAAATTACATATTTTACGTCAGATCCCCATTCCGCATCAATAGCTAGATCTCGAATGGGGTTATATCGTTTGCCATTATATAGATAACTTTTTTAAAACAAAGATCATTATAGCTAATTTCTTTGAGTGGAACCCTACATTGAAATCTTCAAAAAAAAAACCCATACAATTAGACTTAAAACTGTAGCTGCCAGATAAGGGGAAATATTTCAAGAAAAATGAATTTGAGAAAAGTGTAAAGATTCAAGATTCGGGTTATAATTAACGTGTTATGAGCAATTAACTTTTTTCAGCATATTTACTGCGTGACTAACCCAATAAAGGTTATTTACGCATTCTTTGACTTATATTTGCTCATTAAAATGGATTGTAAGTGTCCTTTGCAATGTGTAAATCACTCCTTTGTTAACTTCCCAATATTTTAGTTGCAAATAAATTTTCACGAAATTTAGCATGAATCTGTTTGCATGCTGCTTTAAGAATTAATGTTTTATTCTGTCATTGTTGATATTTTTTCAGGTACGGATAGTTATGCTAGGAAACGAGCCCTACACCGACGCAACCCCTGTAAGTATATTTAGTATTTGCACTGTAAAATCCGAAAATTTGCAATGCATTATTTTCGCTAATTGAAAATTTTTGCGGTATTAAATAAATAATTTCGTACATGTTGTACAGAAGTGAAGTAGTAATTCGTGAAAATTTAACATCGTTAGTCAATCTGTACCTTTGTAATTAGATTTTCACCACTTATTGGACATAAGGCTTTTTTTTAGAATAAAAACACGTGTGCTGAGCATTGTTTGCATATTTATACATCTTTAAAGGCCCACTATGCCTCAGAAATGTTTTCATGTTTTCAAAAGCTTTTTATTTTTGATATTTCCAAGCTATTAATCATTGACCAGTTATCTGAGCCACCTTTTACTTCTGTTGCTTTTTGACCATTAGAACAGTTACAAAAAAAAATGTACTGTGATTTAGGATTTTGTATGGAAATCAAAATACTACTTTGTATACATTTTGCTACTTTTATGTAGGGCTGGGGCGAGTATCCGAGTACTCGGATAATCACGAATCAAAGTGAAAAATCGAGTTTGAATATTCGTAAGCCCAGAGATCGTGGATCGCGATCTAATTTTTTTATATACATTCACTGTTTCTCACACTCTTCAAATCGAGAAAATACGATTTGAGTATAAATTATTTGAAGTTTACCTAAATACAATTTGCCGGTTAAAGACCATGTACCATGATGCTGAGCTAGGTAGTAATTGGTTTCAAAAACAAAACAAAAAATACCCATCCAAAGAATAAATACATAAACAAAGTTTATATTTTATATGTTAAATGTATAGTATTGTTGCTGTTTTCTTAAATGAACATGTTTTTTATAACTTTTGTACATGTTTTTATGGGTGTCTTGATAACAAAAGATTTGTGGTTCGATTTGTGAATCGTAAGTGCTGAATCTTGGTTCGGATCGGATCGTCACTTATCTGACGATCCACACCCCTACTTTTATGAAGAACAGTTTCACATTCAGCGCTATTTTTTCAATATGATATGCGTCCAACATGCTCTCAAACCATTAACTAAACGTTATAAAACTCATATTTGCCCTACTTACAGAAGGAAATATTTATTTGTTTCTGAGGCATAATGTGCCTTTAACAGAACGAACTTTTTTTTTTCAAATTTACCACTCAAAATGTTACCATGTTTTTTTATTTTGGCATAATGTGCCTTTAACAAAGCGAACCTTTTTTCATAATACCCCCTCGAAATGTAATCATGTGTTTCTTTGGCATAATGTGCCTTTAACAAAGCTAACCTTTTTCAAATTAATCTCTAGAAATGTTATCATCATGTTCTATTTTTTCAGATTTCTGATTATTCACAAACTGTTCCAAAGGCGAATGGCTTGGCCTTTTCGGTGCCATTTGAAATGTCCACTATACCACGCACTTTGCAAAACATTTATAAGGAATTGGAGCACGATATTGGCTTTCTAATACCCACACATGGCTGTTTGGAGAAGTGGGCACAAGAGGGCGTTCTTCTCCTCAATGAAAAACTTACCGTTAGGCAAGTAGAAAACAATACTATACTCTTAAAGCCGCATGCCTCTAGAGACGCCACATTGTCTCACGAAAATCAAACTTGAAAAAAGTGAACGAAGATTTGAAGAAAAGTAAAATGATTCGAAGTTCAAGTAATAATTTACACGTTATGTGAGATTAATGACTGATTTTGCAGTATTTATCGCCATATTTTCTATTGCGTTACTAACGCAGTAAGAGCTACTTTTGTATATTTTGACCTCTCTTTTTTTAGTATTTTACATGGATTGTATAAGTGCTCTTTGCAATGTATTAATTACTTCCTTTGTTCACTACGCAATTTTTTACTTTTACAAACATTATCAAAATTCCACCCGTCCGACCGCTGTGGAATCTCGTTCCGGATTCTTTTATGAGAGAAAGCTAGCCAGGTAGCTTACGGTGCCAATGTGCTTAAGTCGTGACTCCAGTGAAGTGAATGCCTGCCATTGTTAATGAGATTTGAAGTTTGAAAACCTTGGTGTTGTGTCCTCGTCGAATGTGGATGGATATACTCGGGTCCCACTATTCTTCACTTTTTTCTATTCAGAAATGAGCAAGAGTATAACCGGTACCCATATCTTGAGACACGGGATCATAGGATTTCCTAGATAAAAACAAATGCAGTTCTAGGTTCTTTAAAAAAACGAAACCGAAATCAAAAGAATAAGGAAAAACAAGTAATATAATCTTTTTATATTTTTCTTTTCCAGAGCTTCGATGCCAAAATCCCACGATAATATTGGCTGGCAGACATTTACCGATAATGTTATCAAGGGCGTAAGCGACAATCTTAGTCACGTGGTATTCTTGTTATGGGGAAACGCGGGAAAAAGAAAAGAAGGGCTCATTGACGACAACAAGCACACGGTCATAAAAACGGACCACCCTTCAGACAAACAGGGAGACTTTCACAACAGTTGCTGTTTTTCACAGAGCAATTTTGCCTTAGTAATGAAGGGACAGCATCCGATAGACTGGACACTACGACAAGAAACTTTTGACAATGTTTTTATATGAGGTTGATATATTTCTTGATTGTTATCAATCACTGATAAAATTTGTCTAACACTGTAAATACAACTGTTCAAACGTTCCAAAATTATTGGAGTTTGTAAGACATTTTGTTGACATTTTAGAAAATCTGGATATTTTGTCCTTAGTAAAAAACAGCAGATTCGTTTGGCCAAATTTTAACGTTTATAGAAATCTCTCTTCATCTTAGACTTATGTCAGACGCTGACAACATCTAGTCGGTCAGCCGTTTCAAAAAAGTAACCGAATCAGCACGAAGTTTGTGTCACGGGTTAGACTGTCACTTAGTCATCTTTCTAAATATAGATATTTTTATTGCTTGACGGCAGTAATTACTAATTAGTTGACTTGTAAAGTGTGTCCGAAGTTAGAGATGGAAACGCAGACGTCCTGGCAACTCCCGCGAAACTAGATTTTCAATATCCCTGTGCGTTTTGCTTGCCCGTACTTGCTTATCAAGATAATACCACATTTCATAATTATTTCTTTACATTACTACAATGATATCAACCTTGTATGTGTTCAACATAAAATTCATCAACCAATCGTATTTATCATTCATATTCACTGTACAAATGTATTTATTTTGAGCACAAAAATGCAACCCAAAAAACCCGATTGACGATCAATTGAACAATCAACAAAAGCCTCGAGTCTGGAATTGGGTTATATAGTGTTGTTAATACATTACATTATTTGTAAAACATATGTTTCCTTAATAATCTAATGAAAATAGCTCATCAAAATAAATTTTAAAATGTAAACCTGCTTTTTTTTCTTTTCTAAAGATATACATCTTGTACATAGCATCGTACACTAAATAGCAAGTGCACTATTTTTGATGGGACACTTTGGTTGCTTTTTTTGTTTGAGTTTCAAGTCACACGGACAATTAAAAGGTCGTTTCTTATGAAAGACATCACTCAAATGCACCTATGCGCATTAATTAAGTCAGTAGCGGGTTCCGAAGTAGAACCACTGACCTTCCGTATGCTATTTCAATACCTTCCTCACATGATTTCATTGTCCCTGTCGATATCAAAACCAAAAGCACTGAGGCCCAAGTGTTTCCCTGCTCCAGACAGGTAAAGGTCAAGTCATCCCAAGCACCGATGTTTGGTTTACCCGTCGTGACAACTCGAGGGGGTTTTGATCCCGCAAATATTTTTAAAAAAGATGCTTGGGAAAGGGGGTCCTTTCTCCGACGAAAACAGGGTTTAGAAAAGATTTCCCGAGTGGCAAA